CCTTCTTTGGATGTGGACAGCAGTTTCCATCCTGAGGCCTCTGGAGATGTCTTAGATCCTTGTAATGCTGAGAAGGGTTCAGTTTAACAATATTAGTCATCACATAACGTGGCTGTTATTGTGTACAAAGTCTTCTTGGTTCTGCTCACTTCACTCAGCATCAGACCACATAAATCTTTCTGAAGTCACCCTGTTCATCATTTCTTATAACATAATAGTATTCCATTACATTCATATACCACAACTTGCTCAGCCATTCCCCAATTGATGGGCATCCTCTCAATTTCCAATTCTTTGCCACCACAAAAAGAGCTCAGTGTTCATCTTCCTGCTGGTGGTCATCTTTTCCCTTCAGAAATTCTGTGTGGATATAGAGAGGACATCCTACTCCATCCACTCATACTGACTGAGGACCCAGGATTTCTAGACTTCTCAAATTCACAAAATAGCCTCCAAAGCTAGAACTATCTGTCTCAGGATTAATACTCAATCATCTATGATCAGTCAAAGAAATAAAACAAGATTAGCATACTGCCAGAGTCCCATGGCCCAAGTGAAAATTCATCTAAGCTTATAGGTACTTTGACGGCCAAGGTAGGGGAAGGGTACCAGCTGAATTCTCACACCTCCAAGAGGGAGAACGGAAGATCTTCTGTTATACCACAGATGGGAAGAGGAGAAAAGGCAAGAAGGCAGATCATTCTTTTTTAAGGATCTCAAAGAATGAAAACCCAGCAAATAGCTCTTCTTACTTGGGCAGAATGGGTATTGCTTCACTATTTCAAATCAAAATCAATACTGATTTATGCCTGTCCCTGGAAGTTTCCAAAAGAGTTTTGGCACATGCTTTCTGGGATGGCCCCTTTAGGTCCATTCCCACCCATACTTTCATGAGATGCAGCCTCTGCTACCCAAGAACAGGTAGAGCTGATAAGCCCTGGCAACTAACAAGATGGAGAAGAGGTTTTAGATACAAAGAAGTCAAAGATGACTATGAGGTCTGTGAGGATGAAGGTGCCATTAAATAAAATAAAGAAGTTGGGAGGAGGGGCAGTTTTTTGGTGAGAGGAGAGAAGATAAGTAGTTCAGTTAGTTGAGTTTGAGGTACTGGTAGGTCGTCCAGAGGGGAATGTCGAGCAGGCAGTTGGAAATGTAGGTATGTTGCAAACATGAACATGGTGGTTCCCCCTCCTCTTTTCCCAAATAGCCAGGAAGTCAGAAACTTTACTTTAAAAGTGCCTAATTTGTGCTTTTGAAAAACATTACTTGTCAGTTAATTTCCTTCCCCCGCCCCTTCCTTGCAGCAAAGAGAAATCATGGACCATATCAATGCAATCAAATGAATCTGCCAAGTAGGAAGCATAATCTCCCTCCTCTCTGTGGATTGAGGGAAGCATCACCATGACTAGTTAGAAACTTTACTTTGATTTCATGCCTATCACCTCAGGCAAGTCCCTTCTACTCAGTTTCCAGCTTAAGTTTCTCTATTAGGAAGAATTTAGTCATTGCTGACAAACTTGGCGATGAGGGGAGAAAGGCTCCGTTGGTATTGATAAAAGTATTCTGAACTGTTCAGAAGATGGGGTACCAGAATAAAACAGTAGGCCTGAGCTAGTAAGCAGTGGAACAAGATTCCTGAATGGGTAGTAGCTGGCCCCCTAGGGCTTAATCTTCATTCTTGGGACTCAGTACCCATGATCATGAGTGGGGCCATTTTAAAGAGCTTCAATCAAGCAGGGACTCAGAAAATCCTTGTGTATTCCTTCCCTTCTCTGCTTTGCTCCCACTTCTCCATCCCAGCACATGCCCATCCTTCATTTAGCCTCTGGATATGTATATTCCACCCCACCCCCCACTTTAGGCTGGGCTCTGTAGAGATGTGGGGGAGGGTTGGGATCAGTAGTTTTCCTGGGGGCACCAATTCTATCTGATTATTGTCTGGTGGGTCTTGCTGCATCCTCCCAAAGCAATGCTTCATCTTCCTGGCTTGCTTTGCTATGAGCATAACATCAGCTATATTTCCGCCATTTCAATTCAAATGTTTTGTGCTACTAGTTCATTTTCACTATCAGGAAGAATTTCTGCTAATGTGGGTCTGAGTGACCCATCTGCTTGTTCATCCTTGCTCTTTCTCTGGACTAGCATGCTACTAACTCTGGCATAGTTGCCAGGTTCAGTTGGCACAGTGGAGTAAAGAAGGCCCAGTGATGGAAATTGTCTCAGTAAAAATCCTTTGAGCTTCTCAGGTTAGGCCTGAAGGTGGTGCTAGAGAGCAATAGGGCATTGTATATACTTGCACATTGGAAGGTGGTGGCATGAGAGACCCAGTGGCTGTGGAGTTTATCCATAGAGGTCTTTCCTTTACGGTTAGAAAACTCTAGCAAGGAGAGCTAGCATCGGAGCCCTAAAGACCAATTCTTGCCTCTGACATATATTAGCTGTGTCACCCTAGGCAAGCTACTTAATTTCTCAGAGACTCAGGCAAATTCACAACCCCCCCAAAACAAACAAACAAACAAACAAAACTCCAAGCTTTCTTAGTTCTAGAACAGCTGATGATCTGCTTTGGTGCAAGTTTATGCATCAATGAAATCACGGTCTGTACCTAACACCTGTTCTTCCCACTTTCTTCCTTCCCTCCCCCCCTCATATCCACCCCCACCCTGCATTTATCTCTAGGCTGAAGTGACTAACAAGAATTAGTTTCAAAATGTTGGGACAATAAAGAAAAAAAGGGAAGACAAGCTGGTCCCAGAAGGAAATTGTGCCAACATAGGCCTATACATACATACATATGTGTATATATATATATGTACATGTATATACACACACACACACAATACACCAAAATAATATGAATTTACAAAAAAAAATAAAGTAAGCCAAAAGGGACCGGTATGTGTGGGGGTACAAGGACATCAAAAGAGTGGGAGATAATAGATAAAAAGGAAGTGAAAGGTTGAAGTGTATTTGGGGTTAACAATTCCCTGGGATGAGTTGGCAGAGTTAGTGTTTTGGAATTAATTAAAAGGAAACACTCAGATGTGGTGTTTCATAATGTAAAGCAATAATTCCCCCATTTTAGACTAATCTGTATACATTTTCCTCACAGGCAGTTTGGCCTAGCAGAGAAAAAGCCTGTAGGACTTAAAATTGGGAAGATTCGAGTTTAAATCCCACTTCAGACACTTACTAGCTGTCTTACCCTGGGCAACATCTCAGCCTCAGTTTCTACATTTGCAAAACAACAATAATAATAATAATACCCACCTCATAGGTTGATGTGAGGATCAAATATATAAAGCCCTGTACATACCTAAAAGTGCTATAGAAATAAATGAGGAGGAGGAGGAAGAGCAGTCAATGTTGTTATTAATTATACGAGAGACCTTGTATGACATGGTAGACTGGTTCCTGTAAAGGCAACCAATCCCCCACCCTCATTCCCTCAAAAAAAAGAAAGAAAATTTCATGCTGGGATAGCCCTCTTTTTCCTCTCCCAGCCCACTCTCTGGGGACCATCCTCTTGATTTACCCATAGCAGAGATTTATCTTTTTTTTTTCCAGCCCTTTCCATTTGAAACCTGAGACTGAAGCTACCCGCCCAAGGCCACGCCTGGAGCACCTCAGTAGAAGCCAGGTAATAACCCACTCTTTGCTTTACATTTTCCAGCCTCTTATCTTAATTAACTTATCTGGAAAAGGAGACTAATGAGGATAGTAAAGCTATCACCTCCCAACTCCAAACATTTTCACTGCCAGTCTCCAGGCTTGGAATGCTGTCCCTCCTGGTCTCCCAGGCTTCATTCAAGTCTCAGCTGAATACCCAACCTCTGCAAGAAACCTTTTCCATTCCTCCTTAAGGCTAATTGAGGTTTTCATTCTGAGACTATTTCCAATTTACTCTACATGTATCATACATGTATGTACATGGTTTGCATGTTGTCTCCCTCACTAGATTAGGAGCTTCTTGCCATAGTGTTTGGCATTTAGAAAGCACTATATTTTTTAAAAAGTTAGCTATTATAATCAGCTATCTTTAAGGACTGCTGTCTTTCTGTTTATATTTGCATCTCCAGTGATTAGCAAAGTGCCTGGCACACAGCAAGCACTTAATAAATGCTTGTTGACTTGCTGGTCTTTCTTTGAATTCCCATGGCTCAGCGCAGTGCCAGGCACACAGCAGGCGCTTAATAAACAATTGCTTGTTGACTTGATCTCCACAGAACAAATGCCAGCCGGCCAGTCTCTCTCCAAACTCAGAAGCGGAAGAAGAGGGACAAGAAAAGCCATCAGGGCCAGAGGGTACAGCTGGTCTGGTCCGCACCATCTAGGAAGCAGGTGATTTCGGGAGCACGTGGCAGCACAAGGGGACGAAGCGGGATCCTGGCACCGGCGGGGTGGCCTCCCCGTTCCCGTCAGTCGGGAACAGAATGGAAGGAAGGGGCCCCTCCGGCCCCCAAGCCCGAGCTAAGTCAGAGGCCAGGGCAGCTTCCTCCAGGAAAGCTCCGAGTTCCTACTTCGCAAAGTGCTTCTTTCCAACCCCTCCTTCCCCTCTCCTCCCGGTTGCCGCATTCCCTCTCGGCTCCCCACTCCTCCTCCCCACCTTCTGCTCCCTTCTTCCTGCTGCACCCCGCCCCCTCCGTCCCCACCCCCAGGCAGGCTGGTACCGAGGCGCCCTCATCTTTTCTTCCCAACGGGGCTTAAAGCCTCCTCCACTCCTCCGCCTCCTCCTCCTCTCTCCAGAAGGACACCCGCCCTGACCAATAGACGCACGGGGACGGTCCGTTCTTCTCCGCCCCTGACGCCCTCCCCCGTTTTCTCCTCCTCTTGATCTTCACCAATCACAGGCAGAGTGCGGGGGCGGGGCGGGAGGTTGCCTAGCGACGGCTGGAAGGGGGAGGAGGGAGAGCTGCCGGCAGGGCCGGGGGCGCTGCTATCCCTGGGCAAGGGGGCGGCGTCACCGGTGGAGGCAGAGGCGCGGTGTCGTGGTGGTTGTCGGCTCGGCTGCGGCTCCCGCGGCAGCTGCGGGCAGGAGGCGGAGCCGCGGGGCGGCGGGACTGGGGAGGCTATAAGAGGTGCCGCGGTGGTTCCGCGCTCCACTCTTCTTTTTCCGGCGCTCCGGGTTCGCCTTGCTGTTGCTCCCGCTCCGGTCTATGGTGCAGCCGGGACCCAGGACCATGTCGCGCTCTGAAGAGGTGCACCGACTGACGGAGAATGTCTACAAGGTGAGCCCGCCGCACCTCCAGTCTCTGGAGGGGAACTACCATGTCCTGCCGTGCCCCCCGCCCATCCTTGGACACCCCGGGCCACAACGCGCCCTGCAGTGTCCAGGATCCGTGCTGCCTGCTTTCGTGGCGTCCTCTGTCCAGACCTGCTCCCCACTCTATGCCCCCTTCTGTGCCCCCCATTTGAGTCCCCCTCCGTTGCCTCCTCTTTGCCACACTCTGCTTACCCAATACCTCTCTGTGCCCCACTTTGCGCCCACCTCCGTGCCCCACTCTGGCTACCCAGGGCCACTCTGTGCTTGGGATTTCCTTGCTAATCCTCTCTTCCTTTAATTCCCCCTGCCCCAAATCTGGTGGGAGTCCCCCACCTCTGGAGGCTTGCCCGTTCTAAGTTTTTCCTGCCCTCTCCCCCCTCCCCTTCCGTTCCCCGAGGGCGTCCATGCCCGGGGCAGGCAGCTTCTACCGGAGCTGGGAGGTGCCCAGCTGGAGAAGCTCCAGCCTAGTCCTACCCACGCCTGGGGACGACCCGGTACGCGCCTCGCGGGGAGGCACAGGTTGAGGGGGTGGCGCTTTGGGTTGGGGGGAGGTGTGCAGAGAGGGGAAATGGTTGGCTGTATGTCCCAGGGGCTTTTCCCTCGGTGCGGCTCCAGCCGCTGCCCTGGAAAGCTTGGCACTGACTCTCCCAAGTGCTTTTCCTAACAGATTGAGTTCAGTTTAGGTTGAGGTTTTTTCTCTCTCTGTCGATCACCCGAGCTCGCCACCTACCTACCTGTTCCTTTAGTGGAGGACTTCCCTGTGGTATCGACGCAAGATAGATACTGGGGTCTTTTTTCTAGTATTGCTGTAAAGTCACAGGTGGCACCTTGGCACAGATTTAGTCTTAAAGTCGGTCCTTGATATTGGGCTCTTTGCCTTGGTCTTTGCTATGCGCTATGGTTGGCACTTTATGAAATCTCTGAGGCATAACGGCTTAGGTTGAGTTCCCTGTTTTCTCTACAAAATCCTTGATAACTTCCCCCCCCCCAGTGTGTAGTGGAGAAGGGTTGGTTTTTTTTTTTAGTTGGGGAGAGGAGAAAAAAAATCAGACCTTCTTGTATATTTAGTGTGGATTGATTATGCGTTCTGTGAATAAAGAGGCAATACAGAACATAGAACCAAATAGAGGTTTTATTTGTGTGGCCTAGAAAACCACATAAAATAAGATGAGACATCATTCAGAGTGAGAATTAAGCTGTAGGAAAGGCCAAGGGAGGCAGTTCTCTTTACAATGCAGTTCTCTGTATAATCTATAGGTGTTCTTTGCTGGCTCTTATAACAGTTGTCAAATGGCTGAGATTTTAGTTATTGTGTCTTTATTAGTACCTTGCTGTGTCTTCCAACTGCTGTTATGCAAGTATTTTTGCTTACAATTGAGATTTAGCTCCTTCAAAGCTTCATGCTTTGGGAAATTACAGAATATCCTATAGGGTTGGGTGGGGGGGTGGATGGGATAGCAACTGCTTTGTGAATAGGGTAGATGACTGGACAGATAATTTAGCTTATATAACTTGGTGATGGTGGTGGTGAGTGTAATTGTGGAGGAGTAATTTAAAATCTGAAAAGGACTTCCTATGCTTCGGTCATATTTTAAAAATTGGATTCACATCCTTTGACTTTTAGAATGCAGTCTCAACTCAGATCCTGCATTTGGACTCACCACCACGCCAACAAATGGTTGGTTCCAGAAACAGGAAGAAATCTCTATCATTTTTATGTGTCAGAGACAAGATCTTAGTTCCCCCTTTTGCAAGCATCAGTTTTCTTTTTTTAGGAAAAAAAATAGCTGATCCAATCCATGGGGCTCTGCTGAGAAAAATGAATTTTAGGCATGTTCTGGAAGATAATGCTGTTCCTTTCTTCATTGCTAGGTCTGAAGGTTAAGCAGTGGTCAGTAAGATTAGAGTGGTCAGTGTTTACATTGCAGTTACTGGCTTACAGCTAGCTCACTAAGTGGAATTGCAGCACACTCACTCTGCAAAGCAACAGTTTTTAATTGCCAAACAACCATGGTTCTGTCTTCTGAGTCAGTGGACTGTGAAGCAAACCCTCTTAACTCATTCTGGGCCATATCCCATGGAAGCTCCTAGGACAGCCCATTTGGGTTTTTAGCAAGAGTCCAAGGGACAGAATGTACTTTACTAATTCAGCTTTTATTTCATAAAGCCCTTAAAACTGTAGCTGTAGGATCTGGAGAAAAATTTGAAGCTGATGAAAAACCCTAGCTATCTAAATTAGTTTTGAAGACATGTTAAGTCTTCTATCCCTTTCTGTAGTCTATATGGTATCCCTTAGACAGAATCAATTAAGAGGTTAACTCACTGAAGGAACAGCATCATTTTCTTCTCTGAGTGTGTGTGTGTATACTTACATACATATAATGTGTATATATATGTGTGTGTGTATGTGTATATGTATACATATATATGTATATGTGTGTGTGTGTGTGTGTGTATAAACTATATGTATATAGGTTCCCTGGGAAAGCAGATGCTGTTATGAGAAGGAAGATTTATTAAATCATTAGTGGTTAGCTCTGCCTGCTACTGTGATTTACTTATCAGTGCGGGGGGCAATGGAGAAGTGTCAGAATTGTCTTCCTCTTTTTCTTTCTTTGCAGATGAACTAAAACCAATTAGAAGCATCTTATGTGGTTTGGATTATAAGCTAGTAGTTCTGCTCTAGTGAATCCTGTGATAGGCCCTAATAAAATAGTTATAATCTATGTGTTCTTATGTTCAGACATTAGTGGTTATGGCATTGTATGCTTAAAGTATAGAACTGTAATTTATTTGGGACTGTGAAATGAAACCAGTCAAATGGTGGCAGGAAAAAATATTAAGTCCTCCTTCTGTAAGGTCAATTTACTGAAGGCAGAAATGGCCTATCTTGGTAGAGATTAAAGATGCAAGTTTGGTGTTTATTCAGTTCTGATGTGGAGTTCATTGCTATCCAATGTAAAAGTTTGTTAATAAGGTAATATATAATTTACCAGGGTTGAACACAAACAACATTGCAGGTGTCAAAGGAGATGTGTTCCATTCTGGAAACTCATATGACCTAGTCACAGCCCTGCAGTACTGCTGTTTATTGGGGCGGTTGGGTTTATAGGTTGGGTTTTTTTTTTGTTTGTTTTTTACAGCTCAGTTGTTGACATGATTGTTAAATCCTATAAAACTGATGCAACCGTCTTTTTTTTTTTAATCAAGGAGGGGCTTGGGGTTGATGAACTGTATAGGTTTGGGTTTGACAACTTGGCATCTTGGACAAGGAGATTAAGAAATAAGGAAGCATTTGGTAGATAAACTGAACCCACAGCGTAGAGATCTGGGGATTTTAGTTTTCTGTTACTATATAGTTTTTTCTCTTGGCTCAGCCCTTGGTTCCTTTAAATGCCTGTTTCAATGCCTGTTTGTGATTCTCTTGTCTTGTAAGTGCAGTGGCCCTAGAAGCAGGACTAAAACCCTTTGAATGCTGTTGTACTGTTTATTTTGGCTATTGCATCATATCAACTGGACTTCTAAGTGGTAAGTTTGCCTTGGCAAAGAGAGGAAAAGCTTGGAAACGCTTCCAAGCTCTTTCTGATTAAATATGTGAGAATAAAGTGTTTTGAATTTCCCTAGTATCATAAGAGAAAATGCAACTGGAAAGTATGACCCTTTTTGTTAGTGTCTTGACTGCCTTTAGCAGATACATCCCTTAGGGAATTTCATTGGATATGAAAGGGGGTCTGCATTTGCCTTTCTCCTCCAGGTGCCCATGGACAGTACAATTCCCAGTCATTTCTCCAGTCAACTAGAAGTTTCTGAATCTGAAAAACAAAGGTTTTTGATTTGGAAAAAAACAAACAAACCCAAAACCTGAAGTTCATTGGAACTAAAGTCCTTTGAACTTGAACAAATTACTTTCCTCTCCAAACTAAGTATGTCCTTCAAGGAGCATACAAAGCCATAACAATCTGGCTTACTTTTTTTTTAGCCTTATTAGCTATCACTCCCTTTCATTTATTCCATATGTTTCAGCCAAATAGGAGAATGCCTGCATTCATCTTGCCTTCTTTCTCAGTCAGTTGCTGAAGGCAGAAATGGACTATTTGGGTACAGATTAAAAATACAAGTTTGTTCATTCAATTGTTCTAATGTAGAGTTCATTGTTCTTCAATGTAAAAGTGTGCTAAAAGATGATTTAACTTACCAGTGGCAAATGCAAACAATGTTGCAAGTGTCAAAGGGGCTTAGTTTATATTGTTACTCATGTTGTTACCCCTTGCCAGGAACCTTAAGGCTCTCTTTCTGCCTCTGCCTCTGTACCCTTTCTGTCTGTTGAAATCCTCCCTATCAAAGGGCCCACTCAGATGGTACTTCTTCCATGAAATCACCTCTGAGCCCTCAGGTGAAAGTAATCTCTCCCTCAAATTTCTCATAGAATTCACACTTATTAAATTGTAATTATTTGTGCTTTTGTCTTATCTCCTTCCTTTTCCTTCCCCCCCACCCCCCTTTGGTTAGGTGGTCCCTGACGGCAGGGACTGCTGTAAAATTGAGGGTGTTAGATTAGTTGGCCTTTGAGGTCCCTTCTTGGCTCTAGATCCATGATCCAATGGTCTCATCCTCTGTCTCTGTATTGTAGATCAACATGCTTTAAAAAACAAAACAAAACTTAATCACTTAATAGCCAACCTTCTTGAGGCAGCTAGGTGATGCAGTGGGTGAAGTGCTGGGTCTGCAGACAGGAAGACTCATTTCTCTGAGTTCAAATCTGACAAATCAGACACTTACTAGCTGTGTAACCCTGTTTGCCTCAGTTTCCTCATCTTTAAAATGTGCCGGAGAAGAAAATGGCAAGCCACTCCAGTATCTTTGCCAAGAAAACCCCAAATGGGGTCAACAAAGAGTCGGACAGTACTGAAAATGACTGAACAAGCTAACCTTCTTGTCTCTATACCAAGCAAGATTGAGCCTTGG